TTAACTTAATCTATGCCAAATACTAATTTAAATGTATGCCTAATACGAGGTCATTTCTTTACCAATTTTAAATTTCACTTTGGCATGTTTCTCTTCTGATTTATATATTTGAATATTTAAGGTTCATTTACTCATGCAATTAACTATGGTTTCCTGTTTACAAAATAATTTTCAAAAGAAATATGTATGTGTTATTTAAAATCAATTGATAATAGTTAACAGAAATTATAAATAACAGTAAAAATACTTTAAATGCTAGAAAACATATTCTTCTTATTTTTGTTTACAGCATTCATTTCATATCAAAATACTAAACGATTTTTCAGAATTTTCTACAATTATTCTAATCATTTAGATGCTGAAAAATTTGTTTAGGGAAATTTTCATACGCAAATTTTTAATTTAACACTATTGTATGATATTTCACACAATTTACTTCAGAAAATGTATAATATAAAGAAATTAATTTTAAAATTTATCCATTTCAAATTAGTTACAGGTTTAAAATTTTGGGGGAACTGTAATCTACATTATTTCAGAAATTTAATGAAAAGAATAATTTAAATATGTGTAAAAACACTCACTATGAAATTGGCATATATCTTTAGAATATAAAATGTAATTGTAATAACATAAGCATGATCACTGCTTGGTTAAGTACAGAAATGCTTAAAAAAATTTTTATGTTCTAAAATTGTATAAAAGTACTACATTTTAAAATACTTTTATATTTTGGCAGGCACCCAAAATTTATCTATGATATTAGATAATAAAATATCAAATTATAAAATGACATGTCACTCTGCAAATTAGCAATAGATTTAATATAATATCAAGATAAAATTCAAATTATGATAAAATTTGCCTATTTTGCTATTCAGTTTCCTTAAATTTTGTTTCAAAAGTATAAAATAATTTTCATTTTTTATTCAAAAAGTTACAATTCCAAATCTGATAAAATACAATTATTAAAATTGAAAAATGCATATATTGTTTTATAAATACCAAAGCTTTTTTTTTATATATATATTACTTTAAGAGTTAATATAAAACTGTACATTGTGCAAAACCTTTTTTCTCTGAAGTCTTCAATGACGAGGATAAAATAATTTTTTTCTTAATTTATAAACAAAAACAAAATATATAAATATATATTGTCATATTAATAGGACATGTAGCTTGTGCGCACCTAGTTTACTAGCTGTAGTTGGAAGTAAATAAAAATTCAAATTTCTGAAAGACTAAAAAGGTTTATTAATCAAAAATATAAAAAAAACTTTTGTACTCTTAAATTTTTATATTTCGTTTCCAGATATTAGCAAATCTTTTCCTATGCAGTGTCCAACACACATAAGAATTAAAGAACTAGAAAAGTAATAACAATCGGAAAAGCTTTTCAAAATACGCAATGATAAATATATACAAAAAGTATCTACAGAAAAGTATTTTCTTAAAATTTTAGAATTCACTAAGTAAAGCATTAGTTTCTCAAATGAACAGGCTGTTTTACAGCACATAAGATCCTTCTCTGGTTATATACTTATTCACCAAATATAAAATTCAAACTCTCCGTTTGGCATTAATTTAAATGGTATATTATGAAATATTAATACAGCAAATATAGAACTACTCCATACTCATACACATGTTAAAATATTTATAAAAAAGGCTTTGAAACAGCTTTTATTTTTAATATAAAGAAATTTAAAAAATTGCAAGTTTATTCAACAAAGCTTTAAAAAAACTGTTAGAAAGAATACATATCTGCTTCTTAATCAATCTGCTTAAGACCTTTATAGAAATAAAATCACTTAAAAATATTTCAGACACAATGCCTTTCCTTGACTGAATTTATTTAGGTAGAAAAATCAGAAGTAAATTGTAAAAATATGCGATATTTTTAAGAAACCAAAATTCTTTGTGCCAGATTATATTTAACTGCTTCAATATACCAAATATTTTTTTAGCAGGTTAAATTACTTTTAAAATTATTATTTAAAAAAATATACCTCACATTCATTAAGTCAAAATTTCTCACATTTCCTCATACTAGAATGCCGATATTTCTATTACTAAATAAATGCTTAGCAGAATGTAACTTGCATACTGGCAAAAGTTTAAAGCAAATTAATATTTCACAAATGTTACAAATCTTATTTATACTCAGTATAAACTTAAAAGAAATTTTCAAAATAAAAATTCCTACTCCCAAAAGTGTTGTCTTATGATTAAATAAAGCATCGTAGATTAAATACTTTTCATACAGAAATATTTAAAAATTAAATATAACAATATTATTTCATATACATTAAAAAAAAATGTTACATCTCGATTTAAAATGATGACAACCCAATGCTTTAAGAGGGCTCTTCATAATAAAACATTTTGAAAAAATACAAAATTCTTTTTCACTTGCAATAAAAAGCTCTAATGTCAAAAATCGGTTCCAGAATAATAAAAAAAAATTATATTTTTTTTAGGAACTTAAAAACCAACAAAATAATACAACGTGCATAACCTAGGCTTTTTTCACTACTCTAAAGCAATTATCAGCAAATGACTTTTTCCTAGCCATGGTTTTAAAAAAATTTACATGATTGATGGCTAGGTAAATGTTGCAAAAATCTTTTTGAACACAGACATGGACTGAACTAGATGGACTTGGTATGAGAGTTTTTGGTGAAACTCTCTAATAAAGTCTTTGGCATTAATTCAATACTTTAAAGTGAGCACCATTTTTCTAAAACGGTACACAGCTAAAGGAAAAATGTATCTGGTCTCTTGTTGGGTCACAGTAAGCTTTATAAAAAAAAGCATTAAAATTCCATTTATCTTTAAAATGACTATCAGGTATAACACAAAAGGAAAAAGAAAATAAAACTATACAGTGATATGTACAGAACTTTTTATATTAGATACACATAATTGTCCCCACCCCCATTTAACAAAACATTTTAAAATTCCTTTCAAAAACTAAAATCTATAAGTAACTTTTATAACGTACTAGATTGTTCAAAAAATAATAATCTTGATCTAATTATTCTCATTTTTTGGTAATTTTTATTTATTTAATTATTTTTGAAGGAATACATTAAGTTGTTGTATATGAATACTTGGAAACCTTATACTTTGTTTCATTTACATTTTACAGAAATCAATGCTTCCATAAACCAAAATTTTATTACTTCAAATTTCTGGAACCATTGGGAGAGGGAGGAACTATGAGTTGGTTTCGATTTGATCATGATATTTTTAAACATCACACAATACTAAAAGCATACAGAAGGAAGCAGAGAGCATGGCGATAATTCAAAATATTTTGAAATGGAGATGTAAATTTTAATGCAAAGAAGTTCATGTTAAATAGTTTATGAAATAAAATTTTATTTTTAAATCACCATAATCTTACACTAATTAACGAAAATCCCCCCAAAATTAACACACACACACACATATATATATATAATAGCTCTTTAATAAATATTATTTTCCAAACAATCTAATAATGTCATTTAAAAAGAAAACTTTTAAATAATTAAAACTATATCACATGGATTAGTTAGAAAGCATAAGAAATTAATTCATGAAGTATGATGATAATTTAGTATGTTGCAATTTTGAAGAAAAATAACTTGTAAAAATTGCATAAATCTAAAGGCCCAGATAAAAGATACATAATATTTACATTAATACTTATTTTCTTACTGCTATCCCAACTTTTTCCAGTACATTTTTCAAAGCTCATGTCATATTGTCTATCCTAAATAAGCATCATTATCCAGATAGGCAAATGCTTTTCTCACAACTGCATAATCATATCAAATGACCACATTTATTAATAATATTTGTATTAAAATAGAACTGTAATATTTTGCTTACCATTAGACTAAGAAAATAGGGTGACCAACACTTGCTGAGCCTGAGTCAAAATGGATGCACATCAGTATTTAAAACACTGCTGATATGCGGCAGAATTATTTCTCAAAATATCAGATTTTCACCAGTCACCAGTTGAGTTAAAATTACATACTTTTATGAAACAGGACACAAAATTTTGAGGATTCATAACTCTGAATGATTAGACATTTTTAGTTAGCCACCCTAGAACAATACATCTAAGAAAGTATTGATGTATTGTAATATCAAATTGTATAAAAGTACATAGTAGTGCTTTGCTGGAATGAGATATTGGTTTGTTTAATGGACCATAATAATGCGTAGGTTCAAATGATTTGATTAACAATAAATATTACAATAAAACATGATCATGTAAATGAACACGTAAATACAGTAAAAAATTTTTATACATGAGAGAAGATCATGAAAATGGCTCAAATCTTTAATAATCTGCTTTTAACTCTTCAGGTTCCTTCAAAAACTTTCACAAAATCTGGATACAGATAAATAAAAATTTACTATATAAAAATAAATAAAAAATACACATGATTGGACACATAATTTGCACAAAGAAGGAAGTGAAAAATATGATACAAATGCAAATTTATAAGATATTTCATACATATTTCTAATTTTCTATAAATATAGAAAGTGCAATGGTTCATTTAAAACTAATAAAAACTGCATATTAACAGAAAAAGGTTGATTCAATAAATCAGCTGAAGAGGAAAATATTTACACACGGAGAATAAAATCTCGAATAAAAAACATCATAAATTAATTGTCCACACAATGCTGGTAAAACATCAGAACACATCTTCAAAATCCTTACTTGAAAATGTAACCAGCAATTGATATGACTAAAACTCCTGAAAGATCAAATGCCTTTCTGTTCAAATGTCTCCCAGCTTGTATCCGAAAATTGCAACATCTGGCAAGCACTGAATGAAGTTCAAAGTAGAAATTATCATTTTTACTTTTCTTTCAAAGTTTAGTGCAATCTTTGAGTTCTCTCTCAAAATAGGGGGGGGGGGAAATGGCAGATAGGATCTTCAGAAAGGAAGGGGAGAAATGTGAATGGTTTGCATTTTTTTTTCTTTTTCTTTTTTTTTTTTTTTTTTTTTTTGTAATAAAAGCACTTCTTTCTCTCACACATAGCACATTATCAGATGAAATCTACTTTGGCACCTGCAAATAAGGAACTATTTCAAGGTATGAATAAGGAAATTTGCACCTGTAATTAAACTACAAGGGAAAAAAAAAAAAAAAACTAGGAGTCATGAAAACAGATTAATAAATTACCCAGAACAAGTTGTGCAATGCTTATAAAATCATAAATGTATAATATGTAAAGGTCTATGGCTTACAGGTGCATTACATCACAAAATGAGATGAGTACAATTTAACAAAAAAATAAACGATTACACATTATTTTTAAATCTATTTTCATACAATAATTATAATGATATATTTTTAAATTATTGTTAAATTATATCCCCAAAACTACGCAATTAAAATTTTTACAGCAAATATTTCTTACTTCCAAAAAAGCTTGAAATCTAATGCTTCTGGTCTTAATCTCAGATTGGGGATATTAATATGCATGTCCTATCCATAAGTAAGGACAGTAAAATAAAATTTTTCTGCCTCTAAGAAAATTCTGCAGACCTTGAAAAGCATTACAAAAATTAATTAAAATTATACAAAGAAAATACACTTGCCAATAGACTTAGAAATTGGACGTCAGTAGGGCCGACCAGATTCCCTTGGACGTTTGAGCTGCACTTTGAGCCTCTTTGTGCCAACCTGAAATCCATTCATGGCCTGTATTGCAGCTTGAGCACTCTGTGGATTATCAAAACTTACAAAACCTATCAGAAGAAAAGCATTTAAATTTGAGAATGAGAGTGCCAAAAATAAATTTTGAGGATCAAAGAATAACATAGAATGTTGCATCTTTTTTATAACTTCTCCTTTCCATTTCCTCACCAGAATGTAAACTACGATAAAGAGTATTTATCAGAGGTTTTGGGACTGTTAGACTGTAAGAACAGAGCATGTTTATGCCTCTCGTGATCATGTTAATTAGTTTCTGCCAGGTCTGATACATCTGTAATTATTCAGTTCTGCATTTTGCTACCAATATTTGAATTGAATATGCCAGTTAGAGGTCTTGAACCAACTTAGATTTAAATTAAATTGAATAGTCTCTTTGACTACTAGTCTTCATTTTAAATTTGAATTTGACCGTTATTTTAGTAACATTTTCACATTTGGTGGTTCATACTGTTAGCACAAGAAGTTCAAAATCCTGTTTAAAAAGTCTATTTTAAAACCTTCTCAAGGTTTTGCAGTTAATTTCTGACACAGCGATAATTCGCTTAACGTCTGTTAGGGTTTGGAACTAGTTTATGCTCTCAAAAAAAAAAAAAAAAAAAAAAAAGCCAAACTCTACAATGTACATCATAAATTATACTCAACTTCAACATCTAACTTTTTATTTTATAACACTGTCCAACAATTGCGAATGAACAACTGATTTATCCAAATTTCATTCCAGCAGTGCACTTATGGTGCTTTTTTATTCCTAATCACAAGCAGTGATGAATGAGAGAAAAATCAACTAAATTTCTGTAAATATTACTGTAAATTTTAATTTTTTAAGTAATTAAGTTCAAAAATTAAAATTATTCTGTAGTCACATATTGACTGCAGAATGTCTGCAAGATATCATTTAAATGCACACAATCATGGTCGAGCAGCTGGATGCTGGATGCCTGTCGCTGGATTCCTGTCGAGCAGTTTAAAGAGGACAGATATGTTGCCTCAGCAATGAAAAGGAACAAAATGCTACTCCTGGCCAGATAACTCGGATGATGCCAATGCTGCCAATACTTGCCCATCTGTGAGAACCATTTCTTGGTGATTAAATAATGTTGTCTTATATGCACAGAAATCTATTACATGCATTCCATTCACAGCATACTATCATTGAGAAAGATTATGTTCGTGTAAGGTGCATATTATGGTCAGCCACAGTGGTTCAGTTATGTTCGCTGACAAGCTAAATTTCACTGTCAAATAGTGATTACGGACACCAGCCAGTGTAGGAAGAGAAGGAAAGTTATTGCTATCATTAAGAATGTCCAGAAAGCTGCCAAGAGTTAATTATGTAGGCATGTATTATGCACAACGGCAGAACTCTTGACATCTTTGGTAAAGGTCCAGTAGCACTACAGCAGTATTGCATTAAAATTGTATTACTATCACTAGAATGTCCAGGAAGCTGCCAAGAGGTAATTATGTAGGCATGTACCATGAACAATGGCAGAACACTTGACACCTTTGGTAAAGGTCCAGTAGCACTACAGCAGTATTGCATTAAAATTGTCCTTGATCATGTTTATTTTTTTCATGGTGCAGTTGGTCCAGACTCTGTTTTTGGGTAACAATGCATGCCACACAGGCCAGCTAAAGCATCCAATACACTAGTACAAGGAGATACTGAGTGCATGACATACCCTGCATATTCCTCAGATCTAAATCCCAAATGAATGCCTAGGATGCAGAGCAAAATAATCTTTAACCTCACAGGATAAAAATTCCTTGAGAAGTGAATAAGACAGAATCCCTCAGCTCTCCTTGGTGGTTTAGAGGGCAGCATGTGTTACAGATGCCAAATATGCATCAGGGTCTGAGGAAATCACACTCCTTGCTTACAAACTCATATCTGCCCTTACTTAGAGCAGATGGGCATTTTTTGTAACCATTGAAAATAGGTCTGTCAGAAGGGCCTTTTTTTATTTGGTTTATTAAATAAGTGTGCTAGATCTTGTTTCTTTGTTGCCTATCATCAGCTATGACCAACAATGATTCTGTTCTTTAGCAATTGTCTAGTATAGTAACATTCTAATACTCGATAATTTATTCATAACTATCATAATTACTGTATCTGACCAACATTCTTTGGATTCCATAACTTTCACCGTCAGCTTTAGGACTAAAGCAACAATATTATTGTTTACCAACTGTTTTATTTAATTTCAACAAATTAACTAGAATAATATATTTCTGTATTTCATAAGTATGCTATTCATTGAACGAATATACCAGAAAAAAGTATACTGCCCAAAATTCTATACATGACAAAAATGTAATATATCCACCTTAAGAATGACTATACCGATTTCCTCTCTGGTTAAACATTCTTTTCAATGTAAAAGATAAAATCTTCTAAGAATTTAGGATACAAAAAATTAAAAATTTACTTTCTGCAGTTTAATTCCTGATCAGTAATGCTTTTGCATTTACCATACATTAGAATCTACCTAAAATATAATTAATACAGAATGCACAATTTTTGCATTTTATATAAATTAAATTATAGTGTTTTATTACCCTCTTTTGAGATTATTATTATTAAAACAGAGATTTACAGATCCATAATGTTTTATATGAAATGCTACAAACTCCAAAACAGTACTGATTTTAAAAGTATTTTATCAAAACTGAAGTACTTAATCAATCTGAAATATTGAATTGTTGCAGCTCAAATGGCAGATCACAAGGTACTTTAATTTTGTACCATGTGCATCAAAGTAATTTAACAGGCACATAAGGTATAAATACAAAGCAGATCAAAAGATATGTCTTTTTCTTCGAACAAAAACAAATGGTAAAAATTTAGTAAAAATTCTCTTAAAAATTTTGCATTACATTCCCCCACCCCTTTAAGAACTTTTTGCAAATTTCCAAAAAAATTTCACAGAGTATTACAAAGAGTGTAAATTCAGAAAAATACATTAACGGTTTAAAAATTAATGCAATTTTCTAAAAAAATCAAAGAAATTCAATATATATATAAATATTAAAAATATATACATATATATTAAAAAAAGGTAAATAACATGAAATTGAAGAAGAATCTCAAGAATTGAAGTTTAAACTTCAATTCTTGAGAAAAAGAAACACCAATAAGATGAAATAATGTTCGCTTCTCAAGAAAACATGCATTACTGATAGGTTGCTCAATGGTCAGAGATACAGAAGTCTCAAAGGAAAATGGCAGAAACAGTTTTAGACTCCCTTGAAAAGATAATCATTGTTTAATGGACATTTTTCATCGTCATTTTCATATGGTGTCGCATCATAAAAGCAAAGGAATGTTATACAGTTATATTACAAATGCATGACAAAGTATATATAAAACAGTCAATAAAAAATTTGTTTCTAGATCAGTTCAGTTCTCAAGTTAACCAGAAATAACATCTATCACATTACTTCAAATTAACATGAGAACATATGGAGAGATATTTCACAATAAATTCAGCAAAAAATTTCTCACAACCTGCTGTCTACCCAAATCTTTTGCCAACAGATTAGCAGCACACTTAGTATCATACTTTCTTTGCTTTATCCTAAAGCACCTATATTAATGATTTTATGAGGTGATACAAAAAATTTATGCCTCCAGATAAATGGAGAATAAAAACTATTAATATTTTTTTTTCTCCTCAGAATGGGGAGGGTGATGTCAGTCACCTAATAGTGATATGCTCTGTTTTTGCCAAATAACATATCTTCCAGTGCAACCATTCTTATCTTATAGTGTCAGGTACATTTTATTGCTGATTTCTTAATGGCCTTTTTCAAGACTTGGCAAATTTTAAACTAACTGCTCTTTCTTGGAATGCTGGTGCTTTTACCGACTACAGGTCCAAACTTCCCCTTACATATTTACATCCCCTTACAGTAGAGATTGGTGCATCTGCACAAAACTTTTATCACATTCATGGATATCAGACCTGTTTGGTACGTTCCCATCAGGTTCCACCTAACATTACTGTCTACAACAGGAATACTTTTATTGCAAGCATGACTGTAAGATATACAATGCCTGAAAGTAACAAACTAGAACATGTGAAGATATATGTTTTTGAGAATAATCAGAATATTCACACTTTTGTTAAATAGCTGCCCAAACCTCAACTGTCTTGAAGACTGTTAGGACCATCACTCTATTACATTGTTCAAATTTGCTCATTTTTGGAAATGAGTGTACAAACCCTCTTAATATCAATCAATTTGGTATCATCAAAATGGTGCCTCATTGAGCGTTTTATTGATGCTGCTCAGTTAGAGTTTGCTGAAAATACAGGTACACTCTCAATTTTTCTCGCTTAAGGGAGAGCAGTTTATCACCCTGACCCTTTGATAATGCATATTAACCTTCTGACCTATACCTTTCATGCTCTTTTACCTGTCCACAGACACAGCTGCTTTTGGCTTCATTACATATAAGATGAAGCAGAGCTATAAAAGTGAGATTTTCTTATTGGAAAAGTTAACTGGACTAAAAACTAGCAATAGACAGATTCTCTGAGTCTTTTACACCTGGTAATACAGACAGGATCATTGGAAATTTTACTGAAATCATCATACCATGTGTAAAAATATGCATTCTTAAAGAATAAGTGAAAAGATCCCCATTCTGGATAGACGAATTGAAGAAAAAAATGAGATCAAATGAGACTTGAGAATAGAATCTACTGGACTACTCTCTAACTTTGCAAAAGATAATAAGGTATCAAAACTCTTTAAAAGTTATCAAAGAGGTAAAACACCACTCCTCAAACTTTCGTAGAGGGTCTGGATTATTATAGGGACAGTTTGAAAGCTTAATATTTCCTTTTTAAGATCCAACAGTCAGGCTGAGGGGGATAAAATGAATTCATTAGAACTGTAGATGAGATGATTTATAGAAACAGAGAGATTGCTGCTAGAGAGATGATTACTTGAAACAGAGTGATTGCTGCTGGAGCTTTATGTAAATACTATGGTATGGCTGATTACTTTCAAATAAGAACTTCAAGGTCATTTCCACCACCTGATTTGATTTGTAGCAGTGGGGAAAAAAGCTATTGTTTCCCCCATAGCTTTTTTTCCCACTCATATTTGGTGGAGTCACTCATTTTTTCCCCCCTCATTTCGCTTCAAGATAAGCACATAAATGAATACTGACTTGACCTACAGTCTCAAATAACATGGAAAAAAAACAGTGCTGTGCCGTGATGGCAACATGAGTTATGATCACAAATGTGGGGGTGGCAACAGCCTTAATGTGCTACTTTAAAGTAACAGGCTATAGCAACAGTAACTAAAGACCATAAGGTATACAAAAAATGAAAATAATTAAATTATACCATCTGTACTTGTTTATCCATTGAAATAAACACATTTTTGATTTTTCTACTATGTGAGAACTCAAGTGTGGCCTTAAGGATTCACCCTTGGGCAAAAGCCTTAAGTCCAGATAAAAATTTAACCCAGTTTCCTGGTCAACCTGGAAGAAAAGTCAATGGAAGTGCTACTAATATTCATTAACCTTACTTGAAAAATGGCCTTCCCAGTGAATGGCAAAAAGCTAAATTATTCTTTAAGAACGGTACAAATCCTAGTGCATTGTCAAGTTATTTATCTCTCTCTATCACTAGTACTTCCATGTAAATTAACAGTATGAATGACCACTAAGGGACTCTTTATCGGAAGAGATATAACGGTATTTTTAATAGACAAGCGAGTTTGCTACAACTGCTCAATACATTTTAATCTCAATATAGCTGGCGGTAAATTCTACAATAATTTTAATGATGAAATGGCTGCTGTTTCTTTAGTTCTTGAGGAAATTCACAAGAAACTGGAGTCAAATGCTGTTTGTTATCTTTATTTGACAGGGTTGGTAAGTTTCTTTCACCAAGGAAAAAAACAGCCAGAAGAAATAGGTTTCTTTCACTGAAGTCGCAGAAGACGAAAAATTTAACTCTTGAACTTATTTCCTATTTATTCACATCTTAGCACATATATTAATAGTTAAAATACTCTAATTTTTTCATATGATTTAAGAAGCCTCAAAATGCTGGCTCTCTACAACTTGCCCAGAGCTGTAATAGTATCAAATTTTCATCTCAGAATTAGCCATGACTATTTACAAAAACATCCCCTTCATACGAGTCTGGTAAACTCATCAGTATGCCCATTATGTGCCTGGCTGACATAAATGACAGTACATCTATAAGTTCCTACCTTTAAAGACATTACAAATAGTAATCGTATATAGGACATTAAAAATTTGCTTGTTTTAAATACTTTACTGGACTGTCAGACACAGAGTAATAACGGCTGAAAAGCCAACGTCCCAACTGTTCTGATTATCATATCTACCTAAAATTGGGGCAATTTTGAATTTGATGACCATTATTTTTAATGACTTATGTAGGATTTAATTTCAAAGATATTTTTCTTAATAAATCTACATAAACAAAATTTGATTTATTATCTACAGTTAGAATATAAAGCAAGCATGGTTTAGCTACTTTACGTATTTCTGAAAAGTAGCAACTGTTGAAATTTGTAAACTGTTGTTCCTATTAATATATATTACAGCAATGGATTTACATTTAAAAATACATAACACACTAACTTTACCGGGCTTGGACCAACTGGAATTGTTAATCAATGTCAGCACCATTAACATTACAATCACAAACAAGATAGTTTCAGTGCTTCAACCCTGCAACAGTATATCATCTTCAGTTTCATCTATGGTACTAAAGATGCAGCACTGCTTAAAACTAGCAACTACCGACTCTCTGGAAACCTTCCCTAAAGCAGTCAAACCTAATAGAGCTATTGATGATTCCTTCGTTTTTCCACTTGGAGTAAAGACATCTTTCCCTTACAGGAGCCAGTCATTGCACAGATAGTCTCTGAAGAGCTTGCTGACAACTATATCAAACACCTGCACCTCTGATGTCATACCATCAAGTATTATGATGAGATACTGTTGCCATTCTTTATTTCATTTTTCACTCCAGATGTCAGATGTCCTTTTGACATCCAACTGCAGCATCCTATTTTTAAAAAAGGGTTTTTACATTTTTTTAAAATTATTGTTGAATTCAGATGATTTGACCCAAACCAACATTACGTATTAGTCATTCAACCCTTTTATTGACACTGAAAAACTAGTACAGCCACAGCAGCTTTTCTCTGGATTTTTGTTTTTCTCCGCAGAATTACATATAGGGGCAATTTCTATCCACTGAGAACACCTAGTAAAACCGTCATTCTTGCTTTCTAATTACCTGTTTCTCTAAGTAACATAGATTTTGCACCTTTATTTTATACAGTCATACTCAATGGTGAATTAAAATACAGTACTATCTTGTCAACATTTGTCAACACAGTAAATATGAATTCTGCTTTTGTAATGATGACAAGACACTTAAATTCAATACCTTTGTTAGCATGCTCGGTGAGAAGTTTTCATGCAAATATTTCCAGAACTAGCCCATTTCATCATATAAGCGCATTAGCCAGTTACTTTCTTTAAATATGAACATTTTAGTACTTTCCCACATGCTAGAACACCTTCATTTCAGTTATTTCCTGTGTAATTGGAAAGCCTTCTTTACTCTTATCTCACACATATGACATAGCATAACTAAACCATAGAAACACGGCATCTTAGTTCCGCTGTATGATTTCAGAGATGAGTTTGCAATTTTTGTTTTTTATTTATCCTTCATTACCCACCATCTCTGAACATTTATTTCAGTTACGACGAATTTGTGTGCAGCTGCACAACTGTCCATGGCCCTGGAATGCAACAAATTAGCATCAGAAGTTTTTCCAACAATGAAGATATTTGATAATTCTACGAGCCTTCCATTTCCATTAAACTGTTGCCCCTGTTTATAATCACAATGAACTTTAAAAGAAACTAAAAGATCACACTATGAATGTCTGCTTTCAGAAAAATTAGACTTCCCTTATTTATATGGCTTTGCCCTTGGTTATTTCCTAAGCAAGTAGAAATAAAACTTCCTCTAACAATTAAAAATGAATTTCATTAGAAGAATATTCCTTTATGTTTTACCTGAATTTATTCATGGGGATAATAGTCATGTATGAGGAATTATTCCATATAACACTGACAATTTTAGTATTTTTTGTTAATCATCGAATTTAAGATAATCCCAAATTTTTAGATTAAAAAATATGAAAAAGGAGAAAAACATTTGCCTCATATTTGTGTAAATATAGAACTTTCACTTCTGGACTTCCTACATTTCAACAAAATTGATTATTTCAGCTGCAACAATCCAATACTAGATTAGTTAACTACTCATTTAACATTAGTGAAATATTATTTTAATAATGATATCAATAAAACATTACCATAATTAAAATCTTATGCCAGTGAATCATATCGGCTAAGGTGCTGAATTTTGGGACAATATTTCTATGCAATTATAAAAATTTAATTACTTATTTCTAAAAGCAATTTATGTAACTATCAATAAAAACAATTTAATTATCAACAGAAACTAAATTTTGGATCCAGCAGAACACCACAAACTAATAATCAATAATTTGATCTGAAATTTAACAGTTAAAAAACTAATTCATTTCACTATAGTTCACTTTGGACTATAATAATATAAAAGATATACCATTGAAAGAAATATAATTATTAAGTTTTGTTTTTAAATGCACAAATATTCCAAGATAATTACAAAATCTTTTTGTTCCACAATCAACTAATGCATTCAAACTGAATACATAAATTTGTAAGTAATGCTCAATGAAAATTTGAAAATCTTATCATATTTTACAAGGGGAAAAAATTATTTTCGACTATTATTAAACAGCAGTTTAAAGAAATTAATTAAAATTTGCTAGCTTTACAAGGTGACCAAAAATAATCAAATGAAGCAGCAGGTAGTCACTTTTTCTGAGAAAACAGAATTCTTAATAAATGTTAATCAATATGCAAATTTTTGAAATATTTGTTAAAATTTAAATAAAAGAAAAAAAACAAACCAAAACATTTGCTTTGATTGGTGACTCTATCGATGAACACTTTGGCGCTGACAATGTTGCCAAAAGGTAAAAAGATTTGCATCAGTTCCACATCTCCAAATTCCTGTGGCAGATGGTAGATGAAGAGATTGCATCCCTCAGGACCTAAACGCATCGAAAACTTCCACGTCAATCCTAAAACAAGGTGTTCGATTTCGAACTGACAATTCACAGGCCATCACCACATTCAACAAACTCTTAAAACATCTAATTATAAATTCAATAATGAAAAATAGAATGCAAGATGTGCTATAAAAATTATCTGAAAATAACTTGAAATGCCCTTGTACTGCTTAACTATACAAAAGTTGTTATAATGTTGTCATTAAGATAATGTACTTGAATTTTCAGTCCTACCCATTTGTATATGTTGCCGTCAAAGTACGAAATGTCAGCATTGTATACCTGTATCACACCAGACTTTTTAGGCACAGTATGAACTATTACATACTTTCCCTGAGAATTATTACATACTTTCCCTGGGCATTGTATATAATACCTAAGCATTCTATAGAGTGACAAATGCTCTTTATGCAAAGTATGAAAAAAAGGTTATGATACGGCTATTATTTAAAAGACGTTCATTCCTCAAAAACACAAATGTTATTTTGAAAATTAATGAAAGAGTGCCATTAAAAAAACTCTTATTTGAAATATGTAAAAAATAGTGAGATGATCATATTAAATTTGTATTTTCTATCTGGCTGAAACAGGGAATCAGTAAGATCTACCTGACAATGGAAATTAAATTCAGAAACAATCATAAGTTCCACAGTACTCTTTTTAATACCTTTTTGTTTTTTCTGGCAATGCTCACAAAGGTGGTTGTACAGTTTATTATCATTAAGTGCAATGTTTTCGTATTTGGTTGAAAGTTATTTCAACATTATGTCATGTCATCTGCATGCAGTATTCAAATGAGTTTTCATGAAGTATGGAAAATAACTCAGCATCTGTGACATAATACTGTATAGTACTGATTCTTTCTTTAACAGGATAAATGAATGTACTTTTTTGTTTTCTACATCATTACATCCTAGCGATTCAGCAGCTAGTGGACCTTCATTCCTTCTTAGCAGTCATTTGGCTTTTTTACATAATTTATATTAACCTCTGGTAAGTAGTTTCATTTCTTTGAAACAAATAATCAATGTATTTCATACTTTGCTGGTTTGTCATTTAGCATTCTATAACACGCCTAGGAAATGTGTGAAATCTGAATCATTTCATACATTACCGGCTAGTTTTAGGCATCATATACAATGCCTGCCAGATTTCAAACACTGCCAGTAACATATATAAAAACACAAGGAATTTATCATTTATTACAATCAGCAAACCATTTCAATATGATCAGAATGATATAGTAAAATGATTTTTTCATAGCTAATCAAAAGTGCCAAGATATGTGGTTACTAATTTGGTCAGTCATGTGCTTAAGTTTAATACTTTTCACACATTTTGTAGATAATTAAATTATTAAAATGTAGATGTGTTATGATCCGAAAAGGTAAAGTCAATCAACCAGCAACTCTTAATAAATAAATTTTGAAATGGTACAACAAACTGAAGAGCAATAGCATGCATCTTATGGCCCAGTGCTCAATGTTAAGTGTTTATTGACACACACTCAAGCTTATAACATTATTCTTGATTCAAATTTAGTGAAATTATACCACTTGCAGAAAACAATATTTGGTAAAATTATATTACTTGCAGAAAACAATGTCCTTAATTCAACTGCATGATTTAGGATTATTAGAGTGATAAAAGAATATTATCTTAGAAAGATAAGTCCTAGAGCCATTCATAGCATGGAAAACTTCAGCATAAATGCAAATAAAAATAAGTTCAAGAAGAAAACTTATTTCTAATGATATGCTACATCAACTGAGCAAGTCTTGAAATCATTCTTCAGGAAAGACAGCAAAGGATTACTTTAAGCATACACTTTAAAATATTTGATGAAATAGAAAAAGATAAAGAAGAAACTATGCAAATTCTTGAGAAATTCTTTACTACAGCTAAGAAAATGGATGTGCTCCACACACACATACAATGTTAGATTATCTTCAGAAACACTATGAAAATAAACAGCTTTTGCATAACAAGTATCATCAATCCACTAGTAATAATTCTAACTTTGAATTAATACATCATTAAAGTAATATTCATATGTTTCAACAAAATATCAACACAGTTATATTACTTTGATTTCTACGAAACTTATATAACCAAATTGCTATTTTTAGAAATATTTCTTGCCATTTAATATCATCAAAATAGAATATAAACAAAATAGAATAAATTAAATTTTAATTTTAACAAACATGTATAAAAGTAAAAAAGCAAATTTAAAGTCAAAATTTAAAAAAGCAAATTTAAAGCAAAAAAAAAAAAAAATGTGTAAACATATAAAAGATTTAATTCTCAAACTAATCTACAATATCATTTAATTTCAGAAGCATAAGCAAATCAAGTACAAAACCAATCTATGAAAATAAATTTACTAATTTAGCAAATTAAAATTAATCCAAACAATATTTTTTAAAAAATGCATAAGTGAATGACTGTTGGTTGAGTAGGCAGGAGACAGACTTATCAAGGGGAAGTTGCCTCCAAACCTAACTCTCCAATCATTCAATTCATGTTTTGTCATCCATTTAAATTTAAAAACAAATTATTTAATTAAATTTGTTTTTAAATTTTAATTAAATTTATTTAATTAAATTCAATTTCTTCTTTTGAAACAAAATAGAATATATATAATTTAAACAACTCTACTGCACTTTTTGGAATCGCCAGTGAAAAACTTTCTTTTTTATTTGTTTAATTTTGTTTATACATCGTTTTAGTTTTATTGTAGTATTTGAATTGAACATGTGGCAATGATTAAATAATTCTTCAGATGATATAATTTTTTTGATTTTGAGTTATAAAATGAATGAGATGTAATGCCGTTAAGTGAACCTAGCCCCAGAGTGTCATTATGGTAAATAAATATAGTGAATTTTAAATAGTGCATTTATTCTATTGTGGTTTATGCACTATCAATGAAGTAGAATTCAACAGGTTTAAATTAAATGCAGGAAAAAATGCGTATAACTTAATATTCTGTACAAGGAAGTCATGTGGCGTACACATCAGATTTTTTTTATACTAGAATTGGGTTTACAAATTTTTATCAGAAAAAATAAATTTGGTTCTTCTCTCTTTAATCCTGAATGAATTTCGAAATAAATAATATGAAAGTGTTTTGAATTTTTCAATTTTACTTTTAACAGATCATAACTATTTTCACTGAGTGGTTATGTTAATGAAACTGGTTTGTTAAAAGTCTTATCAATTTAAAATATCTACATAACACACATGTTTATAAATTGAATTTATAAAAATTGCTGGGAATATATCAGAATTTTAATCAACATTAGGATACAATTTTTAAAATATATCAGAAACACTGATATATAAATATTTAAATATCATACAGGAGCAGCAATTCTCAACCAGTGATATGCAAGAGGAAAATAGGTGGTACGCTATGAAACAAAGTATTTTTAACTATTAAATTTAAAAATTAAGTACCCCAAAACACTGTTTAAGTTTTTTCTCTAACACTGTTAAATTTACGTGATCTGAGCTTTGTTCAATGTCAATAGCCACTCGTAAACTTTAACAAAATAATCCATTTTTATTTTCACAAATATTCTTTCAGCCATATATATATATAAAATTTGTCATAAATGATGTTTTAAAAAGGTATAATAGAAAGGGGATGTTGTATTTAATAGTAAATAAAAATAAATTCATATAAAAGATAATAATAGCTTATTAATTCTTTTAAAGTTGATTGATTTATTAGCATGTGTACGCTTTATGTCACCACCATTTCCGGGCTCATATTGCTCTATTTTCAATAAGAAAAAATTTGTTTATGTCGATTTGCTGTTTCTAATAGCAGGTATTCTGTCTTCTTTTTGCTTTGTATTCCTTACTTTTCTATGTGATTTGAGATTATCGTTGTTTATTTTTTAAGAAATTGCAAAACATTGTGCATTTAAACATTTGTGAAAATATAAAAAAACAAACCTAGATTTTTCAAAATGGAAAAAAAGGCTAGGATTGACTAAACGGAAAAGTAATGATTCACAGGTGTTGAATCCAGGACAATGTGCTTTCACCAAAAATATTGAAAAAAAAAATTGTTTATAGAAAATATAGTGAAAGTTACTTATGATTTGGGCTTACTTGGAATGGAGATGAAATGGACTCTCAGCCTCAATAAGTTGTTTGCACTGAACTACTATCCAATCAAAGTATGAAACAATCGTTTCTTAAAAGACATCTGGAATCTAAGCATGCCAATTTAAAGGATAAATCTGAAGAATATTTTAAGAGGAAATTATCGGAGATCAAAAATAATAAACAAATAATGAAAGGTTTTGTTACTTCAAGTGAAAAAGCATAGGTAGCTACCTAGTAAGCCAAGAGTGGGCAGGCTCGTACTCTTGGAGAAAACCTATTATATTAACAGCAACTAAAAATATCATTTTTACATTATTCACGAAAAAAGTGGCTAATGAACTTAATAATATTCCTTTATCAAATGATATAGTATGTCGATTAATTCATATATATAACGAACTTTGTTCAATTATTAGTTTGTATACATTGCAAAGATGATAAATGAATTTCCAAAAAGTATTTATTTTGTGAATCTCTTCATGATAGAGCAACTGCAAATGAAATTTTCAAAGTAATTGACAATTTTATGGCTGAGAATGGTATTCTTTAGAATAAGTGCATTGCCGTATGCAGTGATGAAGCTCAGGCTTTAAAAGGAATACATTCCGGTGTAATTTCTCAAATAAAGAAAGTCGAATATAAAACTAAATTTACCCACTGATCCATTCATGGTGAAGCTTTAGTAACCATAACAATTCCCGAAAACCAGAAAATTGTTTTGAATCAAGCTGCGAAAACTGTTAATTTTATTAAAAGCAAAACTTTAAATTCAAGGATATTTATGATTTTGTGCTAAGACATGGGCAGTGAATATGAAACGCTTTCGTTATATTCTTAAGTAAGGTGGTTATCCAAAGTTTTAAATCGTGTTTCTGAACTTTGATCAGAAATCAAATTTTCCACACTGATTCAAAATTTGAATTGCAAAAACATCTATTTAATGAATTATGGTTGGTGTGTTTAGCATATTCGAGTGATTTTTTTTAAAGTTAAATGAACCAAATGTAGGAATACAAGTACAAAATGTTAATTTGTTTACCATTAGAGATAAAATAAATGCAATGATAAAAAAAAACTTGAGCTAATAATCAAAGAATTGGATAATCATATTTTAAGCTTTTCACCACTTTTAGAAAATTTTTTAATCAAAAATGATTTGAAAATAACAGAAAAATTAGCATCCACCATTAAAAATCATTGTTTTTTATTGTTAAATAATTCCTATATTTTCCCACGGATTATGAAAAAGAAAATTGGATTAGAAATCCATTTTGTTCAAATTTACCTGAAATTTTATCCTGTACGGAAAGGAAGAATTGATAGAAATTTTCTATGATCGAACTCTAACTGAAGATTTCAAAGATAACACACTTGTTAACTTTTTGACTAAACCGGGGGAGGGGAGATAATTTGAAGGCATTTCAAATAAAGCTATTAAATTTTTATTGCCTTTTTGCACAACCTATTTGTGAGAATAAGGATTTTCTTCCATGCTATATTTTGAAAAATAAACACAAGACGAAATTAAAAGTAGATCTTAAATTTATGGTTAAAACTAAGTGAAATAAGACTAGGCATAAAATTTTATCTTTCTTTAATAGGCCCAAATTATGCACTAAATTAAATTTTAGAATTAAAGTATTATAACTTAAATTTTGATAATTAAAATGGTAACCAATCTAATTTTTTTTAATGTGTGCATATTTAATACAAATAGTCAATAGGTTGTGCAAATGGCAAAATGCATTTTTTTTTAAATATTTCTATCAAAAAACTGAAAAATAATCACTCTAAAATATAGTGATGGGGTACTAAAGTTTTCCAGTTTCCAGTTTAGATGGTATGCATTAGTCAAAAGGTTGAGAAATGCTGCTATAGAGCAATATATACCTAGATATATGTGTAAGTGTGTTAAATGTGCATGTAAGTACACACATTAGTAAGGCATGTATTTATTAAAGCAAATACTGAACCTTTTTTGCGTGTGTTTCCTATATATATTTGTTAAGATCATGTAGGGAAAATGTTTATATAATTTTTTAAAAAAATTCTTCAACTTGACTTCTTTTAATAAAACTGGATTATTGTTCATTGAAATAGCTTTAGATATTCATTTCATGAAGATGTTCAGTAATAATAAAATAAAGTTTTATTCCTTCATTTTTTTGGCCAAGTGACTCATTATCAATTAAAAAAAAGTGCAAATGCAAAAAGTTCATTCATTCTAAGAATTTCAAATTAAGTTCCTAATTTTTTTTTCTTAATGCTACTTCTTTATTATCCTAAAATTTACAGAACAACAAACCATACATATTAGGATAGGATTTATTATTATAAGACATGCAAATTAAAGTCAAAAGAACTTTAAAATATATTACAAAATAATAGCAAAATGTCTACAATCATAAAATATTTCTCACCCTCTCTTTGTACAGGTGAAGTAACAGCAGGTGGTTGACAGAGGGTAGGTGCAGCATACTGTCCATATGCTGTAGGATATGCAGCTATAAAAAATAAATAAATAAATAAATAAATTAGTCATGAGTAAAATCATTTGAAATTAAAATAAAAGTTACTGTTTAACATTAAATGTTATAGTTTGAAATTCCTTACTTACACATAAAGTTTATAATTTGTGAGTGGCATACATTAAATGATGCTTAACATCAGATTTTAGCAATTCCCAAATACAACAAGAAATGGAGAGAGATGAAAAACACTAAATTCAATGTTAGCTTTTAGAGTTTATTTTTACAAATTATCTAATTTGCAGTTATATTTTAACTCAATTTTAACTTTTACTCAACATACACATAGAACTAACACTGAGTTTTAGAACCTATGTAATTTGATTATGACCTCTTATTATATTATGAATTAAGGATTAAGACAAATAAAACTCAAATGAAAAGGAAGATGATAATTAATCTGATAGAAAGATGAAATATGGAAATAAATCTGATTTAAGGCTGTCAGTATAAGAGAAAATTAAGTTAGTAAAAACTGTTTATCATTTCCTCTTCAACAAGTAACTACACAAACCTGAGATTAAAGGTTTCCCAACCAAGGATTTTTCCGAAAAAAAGGTGATGAATGATAGTGAAATTAAGAATATCTGAGTACTTTTTGATAATTTCATCTACTCTTCATTTAATATTTATAAAAAAACAAAAAAGACAAAAATTCATGATACTACAGAAAAAGTGTTAAAAAAAAGAATTTCTTCATTTCTAGGAAAAAATTTTAAAAGGGGAGGTTAATTTGGAAAAGCTGCAAAGAAGAAGCATGATATGTTCTAAGCTATAATAATTCACTAGGATTTTAAAAAAAAAAAAAAAAAAAAACACATGCAGGGTGTCCAATTTTAAAGTGACTACACATTTCAGAGTAAGCAATTTTTTATGTATTTTGTTTGCAATTTCTATACAGTTTCATTCTATGGAAAAGATTAATAAACTCTAACACATCAAGTAGGATGAAGGCATAAATTCTTTATATGCACAAAAGCATTAGATAAGCTTGCTGCAGGGCACAACAATTAAACACTGCCATAGCATCTCTGACAGCTGTTTTATAAGAATTCAATCTGTGGCAACAATCTCATTTTTAGATCAGGCATTTTTCATTGATGAGGCATGGTTTTATTTAACTGGATATGTCTGTGCCCAAAATTATCAATCATGGAGCTCTGAAAGACCTAGATCGATTTATCAAGTATATATAATATGAAAATAAAATATGGAAATTATGCCTACATATTAGAAATATAATATGGAAATTATGCCTAGAGCACCAAGTAAGGGTGACAAATGATCAAGCCACTGTTCTTTCAAAGCTCTAGATTACTTTGTGCATATAGGCCTATAGCAAACTGTGAACAAATGCAGTATATAATATATAGGGTATTGCCGAATCCAACACACAAATTCAGAGGGGTGATAGAAGGCATTAAGAGGAGGAAAAATCACCATAGAACATGGGGTCATAAATTCCATTTAATTGATGAAAATTCCGAAAAGACTTCTAGAAAGCAAGCCTGAAGAAGACAGTCGCCAAACAAATGCAAGGATTAGGAGCACTGTGGTCAACAAGAGAAAAACTTCTCGTACGCAAATTACAAATGCGCAAGGGAAAAATAAAAGCAGTGGTCAAGAAGAAACTTCCTTACATGCAAATTTCTCATGCATTTGGAGAAAATAAAAGCAGTGAGCAAGCATTCATTTACAATCATTGCAGAATTTTGAGGCATTAAACTTCATACAGAAACAACTTGCCAGTTTACACGAATGAGGAATATGCAGATATGCATCTGATTTACAGCCGAGGAGGTGGCCATGGACGCCTAGCACAGAGGATGTACCAAAAGCAATATCCAAGAAAGAGTAAGTCACACCATACCACTTTCATGAACATTAATTGATGGCTGCAGAAAACAAGATCCTTCCAAGTAATGAGGCATAATGCAGGGCAAGAACGCAGTGTGTGCACACCTGAAACCAAAAAGTGAATAATGGTCTGCCATTTCCCCCTCTACCAGTACATGATTGGTTGCAGCTGAACTAGGTATTCAGCAAAACATTTTGTGGAAGGTTCTGCATGCAGTAAACATACTCCCTTTCCACATGCAGAAGGCCCAATCCTAAGTGATGAAGATTAGCCTCATCGTGTAGAGTTAATATGCTGGATGCTTTATGCCACAAAGAATGATTTACTGTTTCATTCTCAGATGAAACCTGTTTCACGAAAAACGGCATAGTCAACATGCACCATGTGCATATGTGGTCGTCCTAGAAAGATCCCTATGGCACTGTCTTGTCAAAAGCAAAACTAAAGTTCAGTATTAATATCTGGGCAGAGATTCACAGAGATCATATGTTAGGACCACATTTTCCGCCCAAACGCTTAAATGGTGCAAATTACCTTGTTTTCCTACAAGTCCTCCCAGATTTAATGTAGGGAATAAAAACCACCATGCATGATAGCACACTAGCACATTTTGGGGCTGTGATGTGTAACCAATCACCTTGATGCTACATATCCAGGGGAGGTGGATTATACAGCAGACCTCTTGCTTGGCCTCCAAGCTTTCACATCTCAATCCATTGGATCTCTTCTTCTGGAGGCACACGAAATCGGTTGTTTATCAGATGCCTGTGAATACACTGAGGGATCTGGTAGCAGAGATCATGGTCAGTTCAGTAGATATCGCCAGCACACCGGATATATGTATGAACATATCCATCAACTCTCTTGTCTGTGTAGGCTGCAAAATGACCTTAGTGGCCACAACTTTGAATTCCTATAAAAATGTCTGGTCATCTCCTTTCTGATATCAAAGTGTGATGCACTGTAATCCTGCTTTAAGTCAAATAAATGCTTTTTTTTTTTTTTTTTTACTTATTATTGTCCCTTCTGGTTCCACATTTCATAATTATTTTTGAAATTTTCTCCCAACATGGTTTGCAACCCCATGTTCTATGACAATTTTTTATCCTCTTGATGCCTATTATCATCCCTCTGAATTTGTCAGTCGAATTCAGGAACACCCTATATATACATCTTGGAGGTGGTGAAAAAGAATATCACTCATGAAAAGTAAGTAATGATACAAAATACTGAAAATTCTGAATCTTTTGTGGAAATATAAATGATTGATTTTATGTTCCAATTTTTACCCAGTTTTAAGTATTACTTTAACTCATTTTGGTGTGTGTCCACACAAACAGAGGGAAAAACTAAAGCCACAAAAAGGGGGGATTATATTTTATCTGCATTCAAGTAATTCTTCTTCAAACTGGAAAAAAGAAAATTTCTGTCTAATAACAATTCCAGAAGCCCAATTCAGAAAATACAACTACAGTTGTCTTTATGAAACATTCTGAAAAGCTGAAATGCAAAAAATATTACAAGCTGCCAAATTCACTTATTCAAAATATAAGTTAAAACTACTTTCTTTTTTATTTTAATGATTAAGAATTACAAAAGTGTATGAATGATGAAAAATTAGTCTTGTATAATATGAGAAATTAAAAACTGAATAAATAGAAAATAAATGATACATATTATGTTTTAAAGTTAAAAACTCATTTTGTTTTTTTACAAAGGACACATCTGAAAAATGTGCTGCACTATATTTAATAATGCAAACACTCATGTTGCAACTTCTGCTGTTGTCTCTAACAGATTCAAAAGACTCTCATCAACTTATCTTAAATAATAGGCAAATCTGATATTTGTTACTGATTTCATATATAAAGGATCAATAAACTTCATGAGCAAGGAATGATATAATGAAGACAGATAGCTAAAATCTCTGACTCTGGAAATGCACCAGCCCATTTATTTGAAATCAACATTTAAACAAATTTTCCAGTTTTAGGGACTTTTAGACTCTGGATAAATAGCCTTTTACCAAACTTATAAGGATGATCCCAATTTTAGAGCAGAAATGTTTAGTATTGTCAAAATTGATGAAACCTATATTTGCTTCCATGGACCCATTGTTGAAAACACATTTCATTATGTGGGTGATTTTATAACAGAATGTACAGGGTGTCCCACTTGAAAGAGGCCCTGGAAAAAGTGTGGCAAAAACCTTATAAACCAGCTTTTTACATAACATGCCTTTGAGAAATAAAAGTGCATTAGAAGAGGTGCTAGAAATAACTTCTTTAACACGGTGGTGCATTTTTGTGTATGTTCCTCCCATTACACGTGGTAGAGTGATGAAGCGTGATTCCACTTGTCGGTATACATAAACTAACGAAACACACATTTATGGAATAGTGACAACCAACATGCAGTTGCTGAGAAACCGGTGGAAGTTCATTTTCATTCACAGAAGATGGGCATCTTTTCTGCATTACCATAGTGGCGCATCATCAGGCCAATTTTTTTGCATTATTGTCACCAATGAAGGGTACCAGGCAATTTTCATGAATTTGTGAACTAACTGGATGATGAAAAGCTGAAACTTGGCTTACCAGCAAGATGGGACAACATGCCACACATCTGTAGCAAATATGAACACGGTGGAATCACTTTTCCAGACTTGATCTCTCTTGAGTTTTTTCTATCGGATCATCATAAAGGTAAATGCATACAAGCACAAACCATGCACATCAACGATTTGCACCAGAACATCCACCATGAAATCTAAGGAGTGATGACCAATACTCTGGCAGCAACATACGCAAACATGCAGCGCCATGTTTAACTGTGTGTACAGTTAGAGGGAGATCACTTCCAGCACTTTTTCTACTGCACTTTCATTTTTCAAACATACAGTTACGTCATGTAAAAATTTGGTTTTGTTTTCTTTTATTATAAGATTTTTACCCCACTTTTCATGGGGCCTCTTTCGAGTGAGACATCCTGTAGAATAGCCTTGAACACTGATTGCCTAGAGCCTGTTAAGACTGTGAGAAATGTTATTTATTGTCATTAAAAAAAAATACATGTGAAGTTTTCAGATCATAAAAATCTCTCTGGGACTCTACTGATG